ACAAACTGCATTTTTCAGTTGGTTTTGTGTACCATATTGACAGGTTAGCAAATGAGTAGTGCACCATCCATCCATCCCCTGGACCCTGGAGTCTTCCTCCTCGCATGTTTCCTCAGTCTCTGCTGCACAGGTTAATCTGATCCTTGTAGAAAGCCACCTTTCAGGACTACACTTCATCATGTAACTTGCTAAAACCAGTTATAGTTCTCCTGTCTACCATATGATCCTAATTCCAAAGGCGTTTTGGGAACCATGGAAAAACACATGGCAGCATACCTCTGACGTGCTTGATGTGTGCTCTTGTTCCCAGTACTATCCCCTATCAACTGTGGCCAATGACTACACTTTCTTCTTATGTGTGAACACCCCAATTTCCTGTACTTCCTTGGTTAAGTGGTAAATCTTTGCACACATCCATACAAAGCAGCACAAGGAGTCAAAAGGAGCTCACTGTCAGAGGGCAACTATCACCCCCAGGTCCTTCCCATGCTCCCTAACTGGGTCACCTCAAAAGCATGGAGCCAACTGAACAGCTCACAGGCTCTCTGGTAAGGCTAGACCATATCCTCGGTTTGTTCAGAAGATGCCCTGAAGAAAGATTCCTGTGGTATCAGTGGATACCACCTCAATTAGAAAGGTGTTAATCTGAAATGGCTACATGAATGAAACTACATTTAGCAGGAAACTTGGATTTTCCAGTTGTAACTTCCAGGTGAAGCCCAACATTGTTAGCAGGGCTCATTCTTAACTGAGACATGGACATTTCCCTCTGCTATGGTTATCTTATATTAGGTAGTTCTTCATGTGAGTAATTCAGTGTGTCTCTTCATTTAAATTCATTTAAATTACTTTGAAATTCACTCCATTGAAGTGGCTAAAAGCAATGTCAGACGACAAGTGGGTATAAGAACAAAAAACAATATAAAACAATGTGCAATTATATGCTGTTCTATTGAAGGCCAATGCTACTAAATATAGGGATTAATACTGAAGAAAATAAGATCAGTGTGAAATAACATACAACCTTAAGGTATTGGTCATTCATTTCTGAGTACCTTTATCAAAGAATCAATTAACATTTCATCTTCTTAAAAGGTGCACAGTCTACCATTGTTAAATACAAAGCATTCATGTTTCAGAGCGAGATCATCATTTGGCCTTTGGCTAGATGTCTTAGACCTTCTTGACTGTTTACACTGCAAATTTTTCAAGAGAGTGAATTTAACTCGGTGTCTGAGTTCTAGGTAGGGAGCTGACTGGATGCCACTCTAACACAATGGTTGAAAGTGCTCAGCACATAACAGGATTGCTCCTGAAAGGCCCAGGTAAGATCTGTGCCTGCGTTAATATGAGTTAAATACTGACAAATGAAAACAGTTAGGAGCCAAACATTTTATTACCAGAAATAAAACAAAACTGAGCTTACCAGCTTACTAATACATAGAACCAACTATCACTTTTAAAACTGAATTTCATTGTACTTGCTAGCATGACTTTCAGTCAAGTATAGCTCAATTATTTAGTTGCTTATTTTCCCAAAACTTCTATTTGCATGCATTAAAAAAAAAAAAAGCATAGAAAAATCTTCTTTCCTATTTAATGATTTTTCAGGAACTATGAGTCGTGATATGCTCTCTCTTCCTCTATTTTCACTTATACAAAACTAGTAGAAATTACTGACAGATGTGTTGGTCACATCACTGTTATTATGTAACAGGACTTGCATGCAGCTTCTCATAGGTCTAGACATACAGTTTTAAAAATAACTGGCTAGGTTTTTTATGTCATCCCATTTTATCTGGATCTAGAAGAGAGCTGGAATTAAAAAAAATCATCAAACCCTCTGCAGAACATTGTCTTCATCACTGATGAAAATTCTCAACTTTTTCAGATGCTTTTCAAAATCACTCAGCTGTAGACATGCAAAGAAAAAGTTTGCTAAACTAGATTCTGTCAGTTTATGAAGCTAATCCTTGTAAACATATTATTCATTACTATTTCATTAAGATTTTTAGTAAAGGTGCTCCAGTTCATCTCTCAACAAAGCTTATGAACTGCAGAGAACTAAACTCTAACGTGGCTCTGTTGTTTGCTGACATTTTTATAGCAGTTCAAATATTTAGCAGTTTACTTCTAAACTTCTTTGCCACAAACAGAATAATCAGAAAATAGTCCCCCCCGCGTTGCTTGAATACCTTGGTTAAAATAAGGTGCATATGCAAATTGCAATCCAACTTTTTAATGAAAAAGTGATTGAGTCTGATGAAACATAAAAACTGGAGTGCAAGACAAATCTGAACTGCCTACTCCTCTTGAAAGCACAATACAGTTTATTCTATATAGCTTTTTTAAACAACTATTAAGACCTGTGTGGCTCTTTTCCATGATTCTAAAGCAGTACTAGGTAGAGTTGTTTGAAGTGCCATCACCAGCAGGATTTAAACATTGCCACTTGAATTTCTAAGTAAATTTGGCTGGCACTCACTATAAATGATAATGAAGACCTATGTTGAAACCCACTCTTTGGAGGGGTTAATTGGGATTTTGCCATTTATCTTAACAGGACTGACATCTATCCAAGATTTATGAAGTTTGCATACTCTAATACATGCCAGTAGATACAGAAACACAGTATTTTAGTTCATTCAGAACTAGTTTGTGTCAGCTAGCATATGACAGCTATAGTAAGCATCAGAGTGGTAGCTTAGCAAAAGTTGCCTACCAGCAAAGGTTATCATCTGTCTGAAGAAATTACAATGAAGTATTAGCTCTCCTGTATTTAATTTACCTACTTGACAATTATGCCTAGGATTCTGAGAGGTAAATTAAATTCCCTCTTCAGCTCAACACCACCTGCAGTTTGAGCTGTTGGCAGCAAAGAAATGTCATCCTGGTCAGCCCTGATACACTCAGCCCTAAAGCAGCATAGGGACCCTTTCACTGAGCAAACACAAGGGTTCCCCCCACAATATCATCCTTCAGCCACTAAAGGGGAAAAGGACCAGAAGCAAGACCTTAATTTCATTCAGTGCCTATAAAAAAGCAAAGGCATTATATTGTGATGTCTTGTTTAATTAATTCTAAACTCCCTCTAATCAGATGACTTAACTCTAAAGTGCAAAGTCCTGAGAAGAATATCACACACTGCATTATCCTTATGAAGTTCAAGGGTTGCCAGTGTATGTAAAAGCTTGGCAGGAAGACATCTCTTAGATATCGACAATATTGACTTCAAGAGGTCTTAGGATACACATCTTTCTATTTACTCTTTTTATGAATGATTTTTTCATTCATCATTTCAGCTACAATTGCCATCCTGTTACTAAAATAAAGCAGAAGTTTTTCTTTCCTTTGCAAATTGTCAACTACATTAGCCTTGTCAAAAAAACCTGCAAGAATGAAATCAATATAGCAATTTAAAGACAAAATTGGCAGGCACTATATTGTACTTGGACACATTCAGTAAATAGCCTCATACATCAATCTACCCGTCATCAATGGCAATATTCTGAAATCTACTAATGTTGTTTATTACATTTGCCTTGTGAAACGCCAAAGTAAGTACAGATATCGGTCCAGCAGATGAAAAATAACACGGAGGTAATATCTGACGTGCCTGAGAAGCACGAACTAGTGACTCAGGTGTCATTTAAACGCGCTGTACTTCCAGCGCGGAGAGCGGCTGCTCTATAGCCGATCCGCTGCCGGCAGTGACCTGCTCGCCGGCGCAGAAGCCGCAGCGGAAACTCCGCGATCCACCGTGCCCCGTCCCCAGCTCCGGGCAGCGGCGGCCGCCGTCCCTCGCCCCTTCCCACGGGCTGCACCGCACACACGCCGCGCCGGGTCGGAGCTCCCACACCCACTCCCTCTTCCCCCTCTGTTTTTGGGTGCACTGCCAGCCCGAGGCTGTGTTGTTCAGAGGCTCCCGGTACCCCGCTCCCCGCCTGCCCCGCGGGCTCTCTGGACCCCGGCGCCTCTCCCGCCCCGCCTGCCCCGTGGCCGCTCTCCCGGGGCGGTGGGTGAGGAAGGGCAGGCGGCGAAGTTGCCGGGACTTACGGTGGCAGCGCTACCGACGCTGGCGCGGCACCTCTCCCGGCCTCCCGTCACCTCGGGCCACCTCCGCGGCGGCTCCGTGCCCGCACCGGAGCAGCCCGGCCGCCCCTTCACTCCTCGGAGGGGCGCATTGCGCTGCCCGCTCCCCGACACCCGCCCGCTGGGTCCCCGCGTCCCGGAGGGGGCGGACGGGCACTAGCCAGGGTCGAGCCCCTCCGGCGGGGCTGCGCCTCGGGAAGCATCTGCCTCCTCTCCCCCGCGACGCGCCCACTCCCCGCTCCACCCCGGGCGCGGCGGGGCTTCGCGCCGACGTCGGTGCGGGGCGGCCGGAGCCCGCCCGGC